CGACACCAAGAGCTACCTGTGGGCCCGCTACCACGAGATGAAGAAGCTCGTGTACGGTAAGCGCCGCCGTGGCTGCGCACGTGGCTGCCGCCGGGGCCAGCGGCTCGGCGGGTCCGGCGGTGGCGCTCCGGGCTCTGCCGGCGCGCACGGGGCACCCGTGGGCGGGATGCGCTCGCTGCCCCGCCGCCGCGCTGTTGGCCTTGCCCCCGGCCTCCCCCTTGGAGAGCCGCGTGTTCCGCCCTCGTCCCCTTCCCGCCGCCCAGCACGTGGGACTGGCACAAAATCCGGAGTCCTTGGTGACACGCAGKTATAAAGACACTGTGAGCTGATCCYATGGGATCCCTTGGGATCCCGGCTCCTCCAGCTCTGCGGAGGGATCACCCTCCTTGGCGTCTTGCACAGGATGGCCACGTCCTGCAGCCCGCGCCAGCTCCTGCCCTAATCCTGCCTTCCTTGGAAGGGAATTCCAGGCCGCAGGAGCCGCCGGAATGTCTGCACCTGGATATCCCCAAGTCATTTTTCTTTTCCGCAGTGGTGTGAACATGGATGGGTTAACAGCACGGTCTCCTGGCAAAACACTCCCTCGAATACATGACGGATTACGAATACATGACGGATTACGGTGTCCCTGTTCACATAGTTTCCGTTTGTTGGCCCGTGTGTGGCCGAGTTCTTTCTCGGGATGGAATTAATCAATGGGATTGGAAGTGCAGGATGAAACAGGGGCAATAGCCCGTTTTAGACAGAGGAGGCTCTTCACGAACCTCCAGGTGATTATTTGTCATTCTGTGATGTTACCTAAGGAATCCCCTGTTTATTTAAGAAATAGTTCCCCAAACTGAGATTCCAGGTCTGTGCTGTTATTCAGGTCTTGGCAAGGAAGGGCAGAAACCAGGTTGGTCCCGGCTGGCTTTAGCTGCTGCTGTGACAGCTGAGCCGAGTTGTGCCGCATCTGGCGTCAGTCCATTCCTTTGTTGTCCTCCTTTCTGACTTGGATGTAAAACGGAGGCTCCGTGGTTGGATTAGGGATTTTGGAAGGTTGGCTGTGTCTGAAAACATTGTTGCCCTTTGATCCATCAACTGTGAGTTTAAGAAGATCCTTAAGAAGAGCTCTGTGGTGCCACCTACTCCCACGGTCTCGGATGCTTTTCTGTTTTGTCAGTTATTGCTGTCAGTTTGGAGAAMGATGTCCCTGTCAGTAGAATTTGTTATGTGTTTTCTTATGTTTTTATGTGTTGTTTTTACTTACTAAAAACCRTTTCTTTTAGTGCATTGCAGTCAAAATACTGTATATATTGAGGAGAAAAAAAAAAGCCCTTTGTACTTGCTGTTCAGATAAGAAGACTGCAGTATCCGAGCAGCAAAGGGAGAGCCCAGAACAGTCTGAGAAAAGCACTTCAGGGGAAACCGAGCAGTATGTGRTAGAAGGTAAAAATCTCCCCTTAGGGCTGGGCCAAGAGAAGTCGTTCTCTGCATTATTTATTTCCTCTCTACCTTTTGCAAGACTGACTCTTAAGACTGTATGTCGTTCGCTGTGGTGCTCTAAGGCTGCTGCTTTCACTTAATGTCACTTTTCTTTCTCTGCCAAGAGAGGCAGGGGGTGGTGTAGCTCAACACTTGGAGCAGCCGGTGTGAATTTGGTTAACTTTGCTAATGCTGAGGGTGTAGCTTGGAGTGTTGTTGCTTTTCTTAGTTTTAGCGGATCAAGAGAGGTCTTTGCACCTCAATCACGTTGCAGGCTGCGGCCAGCAGTGTGTCCATCGGGTCGGGTACAGCTGAGGGAGAAGACACATCCCTGTGGCCATTGCTGGCAATTCCAGCATAGTGGAAAGGTGGCACCTGCAATCTGGCTCGTTTTCATTCTGCATGTCTTCCTCATCCTTAGCAAGTATTTGCAGACATCCCCAAATATTTAGGTGTTAACTGTTTGAATTGAGGCTGGGGCTCCAAGGTTAATTTCAGTGTTCTCTTCACACTGTTCCTCTGTTGTTTAATGTTCTTTACATTATGCTCCTGTCTGCCCAGGCAAAGCCTCCCATCCTGGTAGAGGTGACTCTTCTGGCTCCTTGAAATGGTCTGTAGACATTGCTATGACACTAAAACAAAGCCTAAAGCAAAGAGAAAACTGTTTGTCTTTCGAAAGCGAGCGTGCAAAAGAACTTACTGATTTATGAAGAGCAGGGAGAATTGTGGCCATGTGATTTGTAATATTGCTCTTTTCTCTGGTAAACGAAGGCTAGTCTTGCACAAAAGTTAGTGTGGATATCTGCTACGTTAGACCTCTAGGGAAACAAAGATGTGTATAAATTCCCTTTTTTATGTATCATTCCTAAGCAGCATGCTGGATCTGGGACCAAGGGAAAAGCAGCGTGTCCTGTGTGATGGGACCCTGGGGAGCCCAGCAGAGCAGAGGAAGCAGTTGGCACCTCCCTGCCTGCCGCATTTTTGGAATGGGRGCTTTAGAAGGGCTGTTCATGAAGTCTCCAGCGCTTGTTCCCCCTTCATTCCCTGCATTTGTGTCCACGTCCGCTGCCGTGCCGGGACCGGGCGCCCTTTGCAGCGACGCCGGGCTGGTGCCTGGCAGAGGTGCTCGTGCCGTCAGGAGGAGACGCCGACCTCAGCAGCCGCTCAGTGACTCACGCTTGCAAAACGGAGCCCACGGAGCTCTGTGGTGACGCTGCACTCGTGCCCAGGCGTAAAAGCGGGCTGTGATCAAACGTGCTCTCTTGTGGTCTGGCTCCGTCGCTGACTTGCATCATGCGCTATAATTGCGAGGCGGGTGGACGTTGCTGAGTGCTGTATATCTGCATGGATATGCAGACACTTCCCTAAAAAACCAGCTGAGTTGCAGATTGGTGCAAATTGCAAACGTGCGGATTCTAGGGGGTTGTATTTCTGCAGTAGCTCTTGCCCCTCCTTCCTCAGATGTATGCCCTCCAGCTCTTGGTGAAGCACTGAGTAGACCATGACCAGCTCTGTGATACAGCCTCCCTTTCCACTTGGGATTCAGGTGAAAAGAGTAGTTGAGAGTGATATTATTTTGTAAACTACAAGTCAGTTTTCAGTTTTATTTTTGTTTTTTTCTTACTGTCTTGGCAAAGCAGAAGCTATCAGCCCCATAAGGAAGGGTCCACTGGGACCGTGCTCTGTTGAGCCAGTGGTGATAGCATTTTGCTAGAGCATGCCCCTTTCTGCAGCTTTTAGTGAGGTAAGAGGTGACCCACCACACAAGTCTGCGTCAAAAYGTCCCAGTGGGATAAAATTAGCTGGGCGGGAGCTGATGGAGGAGTGCGACTTGACCCAGTGGGTCTAAATATACCCCCTTGGTCAGTGTGTGCTACAGCGGTGCTGCGCGGGCTCCGCTTGCAGCCGAGCAGCCCTTCCCTCCCGGCAGAGTCGTGCTGCTCCTCTCGGCTTTTTGTGTTTTTGCAGAGAATTGCAGCTGCCGTGTTGCGGTGTTTGCATGTGCCTGGGGTCCCCGGGAGCGGGAGAGGCAGGTTGCAGGGGACGGTGTTTTGCCCGGCGTTATCCCAAACTGCATGGCGAAGGGGGAAGGATGGGGAAGCTTCACCTCTCTCTGTGGTGGAGCTGTCACGGTAAAACCTGTGCTTTTGTGGGGATAACCAAAAACACTGTGGATTTACAGTGTGATGTGATTAGAATTGTATTGTTTTCCTTTTGAAGAAGGAAATCAATACTCTGCAATCACTGCATCCCTAACCACAGCGTGTCCCGAGGTACCATCGGGGGCGAGCACAGGAAGCGGGGGCCTGTTTGTGCCACAGAAAGCATTTTTGATGATTGCAACTCTCATCTGAATCCTTTTACCCTTCCTGTGTTTTAAAATCCCCAGGGAAAGCGCTYGCTCTGGCCATGTTCGCTCTTCACGGCCCCTTCCAGGAAATTTGCCACCAGCAGAGTGACTGAAAGGGGGCTCTTGTTCTTGCCGTGTAGCAGCAAGTCCGTCCTCCTGCTATAAATACTGCTCTCTGGTCTTGCAGTTTCCCTCTGCTTGGTCTGGAGGCCAAAGGAAAGCCAGCTAGAAGAGAGGCTTGAATGTGTTTTGGTAATGCTGCTGTCCCCTGAAAAATAAGACATAATAACGTATCCCGCTGTAGGTCAGCTCTTTGGATTAGTCTTCCTAGATGTACTTTGTTTTTTTTACCTAAAACATGTACTCATGTTCTGTACATGAAGTCCTGCAAGAGCTCCAGCCCACGTCTGCATTGGCAGCGGCTGCTCGTGCTTTCCAGTGATCCTTGTCTTGTCCTGAGTTCATACGGAGCTTCACTGCATAGCAAGGAAGAGCTAAAGGAGCCAGTACGAGGCCTGAGGGGGAGTCT